AATGTATTGCAGTCTCTCTAGAATCCAGTCTTGCTTAGAATTGTAAAGATACATGAACTTAACAATAGTTCTTTGTGTTTATCCTTTTATAAATTGTGCTTCGAGGTAGTTATTTAAGGATGGAAAGGAGACGAATTCTTTCCAGAAACACAGTATAATTGTTTGCTACTTTTTCATATTCTATTTTGTATTTCCCCGAATTTTTTCCTTTACTACTACTTATAACTAAAACTTTATTAAATATGATAAATCTGAAGTATATTCTGTCAAGCATAACTGTAAATATCTAACTAAGAGAACTTGACTTTTTGAAAAGCATATGCATATATTTGATGGAAATCAGAGAGACTAGTTTGGTTTTTTTCTGTCACATATATTTCATTTTAATGTCTGGGAGGTTACTGTGGGTGCCAGGAAAAGTATAATCTGTCATTTTTATCAAAATTATTCAATTAGTAGATACATATTACATTAACACAACTACTCACGTCTACCCCCAGTGCCTTATGTAACCAAGGGTACTCTAGTCTTTAGGGGCTCATTAGAATTTCAAAAACAGTCATACTTTGACCAAAGTATAAACTCTAATGCAATTAAACCTTTTTTTTTTTTAATTTTTATTTTGAAGTGATCTCCACACGCATTGTGGGGCTCGAACTCAAAACCCTAAGATCAAGAGTTGCATGTTTTACCAACTGAGCCAGCCAGACACCCCAGATGTTTCTTTTTAAGTTAAACAAACAATATTTTAAAATCTTTTTTTTTTTTTTTAAAGATTTTATTTATTTGCGAGAGAGACAATGAGAGACAGAGAGCATGAGAGGGAGGAGGGTCAGAGGGAGAAGCAGACTCCCCGCTGAGCAGGGAGCCTGATGCGGGACTCGATCCCGGGACTCCGGGATCATGACCTGAGCTGAAAGCAGTCGCTTAACCAACTGAGCCACCCAGGCACCCTAAACAAACAATATTTTGATGCCTCAGTCCTCACTAATGAGGAAAGGGTTCCCCAATTAAATACACTTTAGTCTGAGGACAGCTATGTCAACATATAGGAATAACTCAGGAAGTAAAAGTGCCTACTGTTTGACAGGTACTCTGCTAAGATTCAACACCACCTATTTTTAAAGCTCACAGTACGTCTGGGAGGCTCAGTCAGTTGGGCATCTGACTCTTGATTTCAGCTCAGGTCATGATCTCAGAGTCGTGAGATCGAGCCTCGCATCAGGCTCCGTGCTAAGTGTAGAGTCTGCTTGAGATTCTCTCTCTCCCTCTCCTGTTGCCCCTCCCCCCTCAAATGAATAAATAAATAAAATCTTTTAAAAAAAGAAACTGGCAATCCAGTGGTAGAGAAAAACATGGAAAAAAATAGTGGGGTATAATAAGATCTAGAGTTTGTAAAAACAAACAAACAAACAAACAAAACCACAAAGACCAGACATGGGAGTAACTGACTCCTGGTGTCGTGCAATCTGAGTCACCGATGATAGGTGAACATCTCCTTTAACATTCAAGAGGCAGTACAGACAGACCCAGGCCCTGCCACTCACTGTCTGTGTGATCTTGGACCAATGACTCCCCTTTAGAACCCCAGCCTCCTTACAGATGCTGCTGGCCCTGGGGTCTGCAAGGATTCAATGATACAAAATATGTAAAATGCATTGCTATTGGGGCAGTTGATAAAAATTAATTCTCTTCTTCTTAGTTGCACAAATAATGAAAGTATACAAGTTTAAAAGGTTAATTTATCTGGGCACCTGGGTGGCTCAGTCAATTAAGCGTCTGACTTCGGCTCAGGTCATGATTACAGGGTTCTGAGATCGAGCCCCATATCAGGCTCCCTGCTCTCCCTCTCCCTCTGCCCCTCTGCACCCCACCCCCACTTGTACTCGCTCTCTTGCTCACTCTCAAATAAATAAAATCTTAAAAAAAAAAGTAAAAGTTTAATTCATATCCTCTTTAGTATTTGTAGTCATTTAGACATAGGCAAACCCAATTTATTCATGTATTTTTATATCCTGGAGAATTCTTTAATCATTTGGTTTATTTTTTTTGTGCGAATTTAGTGTATATATCCTATCCTGGAAGGTTTTGTGTTTTTTTTCCCATGACATGTCATAAGCCTATTTCATGTAGCTCTGTAGCATTCATTCTTGGTTTTTTTGACTAATGCTCTTTAGTTTAAAAAACCATTCGTACCAAGGGAAAAAAAATTGCGATTTTCCTTTAAGAGAATATGGAGGGGCTCCTGGGTGGCTCAGTCAGTTGAGCATCTGACTCTTGGTTTCAGCTCAGGTCGTGATCTCAGGGTCGTGAGATCAAGCCTCACATTGGGCTCCACACTCAGCGGGGAGTCTGCTTGGAGCTTCTCTCCCTCTGTCCCTCCCCCCACTCACTCTCTTTCTCTAAAATAAATCTTAAAAAAAAATAAAAATAAAAGAATATGGAGAAAATAATTCCTCATACTTCCATCCTACTCAGCCTCAGGAGGAAAAGCTAGAAGTACTGCATCTCACCCCCTAACATAGGAAGAGAGAGGTTTCTGACTAAGTGGCCATAGGCCTTTGCATGGCCGTGGTCGAACTCTGACCACAGTGCTCCCTGCAGTCGAGTCCTTAGTCAACTCAAGTTCTTGCTTTTTTTCAAGTTACTAAATAGGAGTTGAAATCAAGAGTTACCGGCACGATGTTTGACCTGGCCAGGTCTTAAAGCATCTTGTCCCCACCCTCACCCCCTTTCTGAGGGGGACTGGTTAACCAGGGTGGAACGATGCCACGAGATGGCTCCGTTTGTCTCCTTGTGCCAAGAAAGCAGTGCCTTCAGAGTCTGCTGGCGGCACTTGGGTCTGGCTGAGGACCACGGTCAGTTCTCACAAGCCTGAGCGCAGGCTGGGTTTAATCCCTAAATTCTACACTGCAGGGCTCTGCTCCAGATTTAAGGCCTGCCTTTTGGTGTGGGCGTTGGGGGGAGTACACGTGGAATAAGGAAGATCCTTTGAGAAAACGTACAGGAAAAAAGTACTGATATAGTAGATAAAAATGTTGACATTGCCTTATTCTTTTTAGAGTGTGTGTGCGCGCACACATATGTAGCTGGTCTTCACAACAAACCCAAGCATTTAGGAGTGGTTACACCCTTTTTAAAAATCCACATATTACGCCAACATGTTCTGAATACCCCTTAGGTACCAGGCTCTGTGCTAGATGTTAGAAGTCAGAATTAGAGAAATAAGGTTATGTAAATCTGTTATTTTTTCTTCCAATTCATTTTTTTTCAACTTTAGTGCCCATCAGTTGATCTTTCACACTATTTGACATAAGTTTTTTACATTATATGTATACGTTAAAGGCATTGGAACATGCCTTTGGTTAAACTCAGGAATGTTTTTGAATTTTAGCATTGTTTACACACACGGGTGTGTTCTGTTTGGTGTTTTTTTTTTTTTTTTACATGGTTTGTAATATTCTAACATAGAAAATAGTCTCAATTTCCTTCTCTACTCCCTTACTAATGGGCATTTAACTTGATTCCAACTTAGAAAGTCAAAATAATGCTGCTGCGAGCATTCTGTTACAGGAGTCCCTTGCGGAATGGCTCTCGGGTGGGTGCCTCACACTGGCTCCGAGTAGAGGCATATTCTCTCTCTTCTAGGTGCTGTCAGGTTTTCTTCAAGTGGCTGCATTATTTATTCTCCCCCCAGCGGATTATGAAAATGCCTGTATTTCCTCAGTCTAGCTGTATTGTTGCCACAATTTTATGTTTTGCCAACCTAATGGTTGGAGACATTACTTGTTTTGTGCTTACACATCTCAGAGTCCCACTGTGCAGCCGCATGTCCCGGTGTAACAAGAGACTGCCAGAATTAGGTCCGGCTTTGCATAAAGGAAACAGTACACCTGAAAGCTTACGTTATGTTGTGTTATTTCCAAATGTACAAGGAATTGTCGTGTAAGATTAAAAAATAAAAAGTTCATTGGACTCATTTTTTTCAACATTTATTAAGCGTTTTGTTCCAGGCCCGAGGATTACAAAGATAAACAGATTATAGTCTCTGATCTCAATCAGGGGTTCTCATCCCAGTGGAGGGAAGAGGTACTTAAACCAGTAGTTTTGGCAAATACCGTAATCATGAAAGTTGGGGGCTATGAGAACACAGAGGAAGGAGAATACCATTTTAATTCTCTTAATGATGGGGAATGCATGTTAGAAAGTCAGAAATTTCAAAGGATAGTAAATGCCACCTTAACTGTTTAAAAAGATTTTTACACCTGGGGCGCCTGCGTGGCTCTGTTGTTTGGGTGTCCAACTCTTGATCTCCGTTCAGGTCTTGATCTCAGGATTGTGGGCTCGGGCCCCACATTGGGTGTGGAGCCTACTTTAAAAAAAAAAAAAGATTTTCACAGCTGCTCTTGGCTATGTAGTACATGACCGAAGACCCCCACGAGCTGCCGTGAGCTGTAGACGGGCTCACAGAAGAGAACTTGTCCTTGAACCCAGCATGGGAACCGGGGTAGAGGTGCCTCTGCTCCACACATCACCTCCTCCAGCAGCGAACAGTTTCTCAGCATTTGGCATGCACTTAGCGTTGTGCTGGGTGCTTACATGGACCAGGATGAGTCTGACAACGTTCCTGCTCAGTGCAAGCTCAGAATCCAGATGGGGAGATAAGACCATTTACGTTTAATGATATTTTAATACCAGCTCATGAGAAGAAGCTGAACAGAATTTAAACGATCCTTCTGTATGGCCCACTGACCATGGAAAGGAAACTTTTATGCCTAGAGAAGTGTCTGAGAGGGAAAGAATGAGTAGAATCACGAACTGATCCAGGAACTGAGCTCTTAACACATAGCCCTGCACATAGTAGGCACACAAGTACGCTTTTAACATCTTTGGACTGAGAGAATGTTGTTACTAACTGGGGCTCAGTTATTAATCCAAACATAACCAAGAAAAATCATTCTTTTCTTTTGTAATTTTTTATTTTTTGTTTTGGTTTTTAGGTCAAGAAGTGGTTTTCAAGTGCCTTGGGGAAGGAATTCTTGAAAAAGCCTTTCAAGGGTATAATGCTTGTATTTTTGCATATGGACAGACAGGTAAGTAGCTGCTTTTATTTATAGCCAATGACATTAAATATGCATTTCTTAAAGTCTAGAAATAGAAAACACTTTGGGAAGTGACGGAAGCATGCTTCTGACTTTGTGGGTTTTGCTGAATTAGATGATCAAAAGTAACCCTCTTTTTGAAGGTTCAACAATTTTGATAATTGAGTAATTGAGCAAAGCTAGTTTCAAACTATTAAATGTCATTTTCCTAAATTATAGCTTTAACCTGTATTTGAAATAGAAAAATAATTACCAGTTTCTCAGTATAAAGGTTATAGTAAAAAGCCATAGAACAACTCTTGGTATCATCCTATGCGGAGGACCTTCCCTGGGACACAGGAGTGCTAATGGATTATTAAACCGAGACTGTGGGGCAGGTGCTTGGAACGTGCAGAGCAGAAGTTCGCTAGGGGCTCAGCCGTTAACACTGCTTCAGCAAGAAAGTTAGAATAAGTCCCACTAATACTGCCTGTTGTCCCATCACTGGACAGCTACGAGACTCAGACAAGAGAACACATATCAAAGCATTTTCACAAACATAAAATATTGTGGGGGTAAAGTACTGTCTGTGTTACTCAGTAATGTATAGTTGACGTTCACTATACATACTTCTCAAGATTACATATTCATAGTGGTTCTATTTGTAGGCATCCCTCCATCAAGCTGGAGGTTGTGAGCGTTACAGAAAGAATAGTAGCCTTGCTGTCCAGGGGCATGGGCGTGAGGCTGCGTTTGCTGCTTCCGCTCTGTGACCCTGGCAGATAAATGTAGAGACCTCGTCATGTGGAAGCATTATGTTTCACTCCCTCTGTGGTCCTCCTTCCTTTCTGCTTGCTCTTCTTCAGGTTCAGGAAAATCCTTCTCCATGATGGGCAGTGCTGAGCAGCTGGGCCTTATTCCAAGGCTCTGCTGTGCTTTATTTAAAAGGATCTCTCTAGAGCAAAATGAGTCACAGACCTTTAAAGTCGAAGTATCCTATATGGAAATTTATAATGAGAAAGTTCGGGATCTCTTAGACCCCAAAGGGTAAGTTAGTGATTTAATTAAGCTTGTCATGGGAGTAATAATTGTAAATGATCCTTAAGTTAAAACTGCAAGTGAATATATTTATTTGGTCACTACTGTGGTTTCAGTTCATTCACTGAGAAGTCATCTGCTTCTCAAAGCCTACTGGTATACCCGGTATATATGGTTGATCCTGTATTCATGTGTAAAGTTGCTTACGTATGCCATTTAAAAAGATGTTTTTACTGTCGGTATTATTTTTGCTACCATGGCTTGTTCATAAAAATTGAGTTAAGAATGACGCAGTGGTCCTCTGATTCGTGTTGGAAGGCAGCAGTTCTACACTGGAGGTAAGTGCTGGAACCAGCCTGGACAAGCGTTCTCTTCCTGGGCTGTGCGCCGGAATCACGTTGGGGGGCTTTTGAAGCATACACTGGCCTGGGCCCCACCCATTGAGACCATGATTCAGTGGCCCCAAGGGGAATCCCAAGCATGGGTATTTTTTAAAAACTAGGTGATAAAAACCAGATGAGTTTGATTCATAAAAAAATTTTTTGCTGATTTAAAAATAATACATACTCGTAGAAAATTTAGAAAATAGGCAAAGTGTAAGAAGAAATAAAAATGACCTATAATCCCACCACTCAAAAATAACCATTGTTAATACTTTGGTGTATTTTGATCCTGTGTTTCAAGTCTCCAGGAGGCGGGGGGAGTGTTGAGCTCATTCTCTAAATTCAATTCAGCATCCTGAATTATTTTTAAATGCTTTTAGCAGCTGTGTAATCAAGGGTACCATCATAAGATCGGAATTGTAGGTGATAAGGAAGTGAGCCAATCGTAGGAAATGTTTATATTGACTTTAAAGTTATTAACTATTTGCATATGAAAGAACATTTACAATACATGTGAGATATAAAGAAAAATAAAATTGACCGTCCCACTTACCATTTGGCTTAATAAATGGAACATGACCAATATTTTTGAACCCCTTTATGATTCTCTTGGATTCCATTCCATTCCCTGCCCTCTCCAAGGTAACCACAATGATGAATTTTACGTTTCTCATTATCTTCATCCTCCTTAGAGTTTACACAGAATTTTGCACAATTTTAAACTTTGTGTGAGGGAGATCATAATATATATGTCCTTTGTTGACTTGCTGTTTTCTCCTTAATGATTCGTTCATTCTGATACATGAAGTAATAATGCATTCACTTTTACTGCTCTTTGGTGTTTCATTGTATGATTATACCATAGCCTATCTCATCTGCTATCACTTGTGTGGTTTCTACTTTTTACTGCCACAGTGCTACTCTGAGCATTCTTGCGCAGTTCTCTGGGTGTGCAAATGTAGGAGTTCCTAGGGAATACATCTGGGGTGGACCTGTGGGCCACAGGATACTGAATTTTTGGTGTTAGGAGGTCCTGCCTAATTGTCTTTCAAAGGACTCATACCAGTTCACAGCCCACCAGCAGTGTACAAGAATGCCCTGAGTGAGACACCATCACAAGCACTTGATACTGTGCTAGGTTACTTTTTCTGGCTCCAGAATAGCATTCAAGAATCTCTGGTTGTGCAAGGCGAGTGAGTAGAGTCTCAGATCCGTGTGCATCCCGCTAGCTCTCTTGAAGATGTGTATTTGATCTGCCCCCATTTAGAGTACACAGAATTGCTTGTTGTCACATTGAATTCTTCATCAGTAAAGACAGGAAAACCTACTCTGTAGGTTACTGTAAGATTAAATGGGATAACTAAAAAGTTCTTAGGGAACAGTGCCACGACTTTGGGAAGCTCTCAGTGATTCTTAGTTCCGTTTTTTCCACACTTAAGTGATGCCAAACATCGACACTTGATTTGAAAGGTGATCAGTATCTGATGCAATGGAAAAGGTGACAAATGCAATATACTCATAATATATATAGATTTGCTTTTAATCTCAATATGTGTTGATAAGCTTTAAATGGGTCCCAAACCAGGTTTGTCATTTAAAAATTTTAAAAAGTCTTAAAGTCTTCACCAGCAGAGCCAATTCTAAATATAGGATAAATATCAGTAACTGCAAACAACTGCTTTCCTGCTCTATCACTTTCTGTATAAAATTGTTAGCATAGAAGCAGCATAAATCACTTCAGCCTTAAAGAAGCAAATTAAAATACTTTAATATTGTTCACTACTTGATCAAAACCTTTAGACATGATTTACTGAAACTGGGAGTGTGCTTGTGTATGAAATAATCTTAAGGTTAAATTTAATTCTGCATGTTCTTTCCTTCTTTTTTTTTTTCCTCCTGTTAAAACTGAAGTTCATCGGCTAAAGCAAGCAAGTTAGTTTACCCTCGAATTCTGTGTGCTGGCTGTTTAGTTTGGGAGTAGAGATAGAATGTTTTAAATAGTAAGTTACTTTAAATAGAAATCAGAGTATAAAAGACATTCCTCATAAGGAATGCTGTTTTCCTAATCCAAATAAAGTAGCTTTTAGAATATTTTTTGATCATTAAAAAAAATTCATTAAAAAAAATTGCAACCTTAGTTTTTGAGTACCTAAAAAGAAAGAAAAGCTTCCCAGTTTGGTCTGATTCATTCATTCCTATTTCTTTCCTCCCAAAGGAATAGACAGTCTCTTAAAGTTCGAGAGCATAAAGTTTTGGGACCATATGTAGACGGTTTATCCCAGCTGGCTGTCACTAGTTTTGAGGTAAGTGTCATAAAAAAAAAAAGTAAATTGAAATGTGTAGGTAATGTTGAGTGTATTTTTATGTGAGTGCTTCGTAGCATATTGGTACCATGCGTGGTCCAGAAACCCGGTAGCAATACACCCTACACGGAAAGAAAGGGCTTCATCCCGCTTTGTCGTGAAGGCGTGACAGTGCAGCCAAGAGGCTCACCAGTGTGAACTGCTGAGTATTTTCTTTCATGCCGCCTTGTTGAAACTCTTCTCCCCAAGGTTGTCAGTGATGTCCTTCTAGAGAAACCTGGACGCACATAAGCAGCGTTGGGTAATCCATTCATTCCCTTCCTGCTGACAGGATCTTCTGTGCTCATTTCCATTATTTTCAGTCTTCTGGTTCTATTTTTCTGAATCGCTCCTCTCTCCATTGACGGACCCATCTCCTTCTCCTGCTCCTTGACTTGTATGCCTTTTTACGTCCCAACTTGATGTTTTAGCCTTACTTCTATTGTCATTGCTTCAGAAACCCCCCAAAACGGCCCACTCTGTGTTGCTGGAGAATGCCGGCCCAAGAGTGCGTGAAGGCGTCCTCTGCCTAGTCGTTCTCTCTGGGGCTTGTGGCCGTCCCACCATCCCCTCCGACTCAGTAGGACGAAAATTAATCTGCGAGCTAACTCCCCCCAGCCATTTAGATGAAGACATTTTTAGTATCACTCAAATGAGAAACAGAGTACAGCCATCACTTTAAAAGCACCTAGATTCTGAAATGAAGGGAAACCTCTCTGGCGTAAAGGTGCTAAAAGTCAGCACCTTTGCTCAGGTGCATGGTTCACAGCTCAGTGTGGTCGGGGTCCGTGTTCATCTCACCCTGTCACTTATTAGTAAGAGCCAAGGAGCTTGTGATTTGCATCCCCGCTCTGCCTCTTACTAGATATGGGAAAAGTTACTTGAGCTCTGTAAACGCCAGTGTTCTGTGGGTAACATCAGGGGAATACTTGTTTATTATAAAGTTCATGCATCTGACATGTGTAAGAGCCCGTGGGTTCTAGGTGTTCAAAGATGAATAAGGAGCATTCCCTGCCGAGGCGGCGACATAAACAAGAGGTCGATAGCTCTGTAGGTCGTTAAGCACAGGAGAGTTACAATCACCTGAGGTCACTACCTTATAGCGAGTATCTAGAGTGCTCCCTAAACATTAGCTCCTTTCTCCCCCAGGAACTTGCAAAGGGAAAAAAGAGGCGCCAGAGAAAGGGGACGATTGCGGGATGGCCAGAATGGGGGGAACATTTATTCCGGAAGGCGGTGAGAGAGGTGGAAGCTCACCCGCTTCGCCACGAAGGCAGACGGGGAGGCGGTCCTTACGGAAGGGCGGGGCCAGCACGTCCCGGGGCTTGTGATTAATCCGTGCAGCTGGCGGGCAGGACTGCATTCCTGTGTTTGCGCTTATCCTGTGTTCCTTCTGCTTTGCCTGTAGGACATTGAGTCATTGATGTCGGAGGGAAATAAGTCCCGGACGGTAGCCGCGACCAACATGAATGAGGAAAGCAGCCGCTCCCATGCTGTGTTCAACATCGTAATCACACAGACACTTTATGACCTGCAGTCCGGGGTGAGGGCCTGGGGGGGGCCTTCAGTGCAGGAAAAGAACGCAAATATCCTGCAGGGGTGAAGGGTTTCATGGGTGGATTTTATGCTGGCTTTGCTGCTTACTAAATAAGCTACTTTACTTAAACCGTTCAATTTATCAGGTCTTCCTTTATATATAACTTTTTTTTAAAAAATTGGGTTTCGGGCGCCTGGGTGGCTCAGTTGGTTAAGCGACTGCCTTCGGCTCAGGTCATGATCCTGGAGTCCCGGGATCGAGTCCCGCATCGGGCTCCCTGCTCGGCGGGGAGTCTGCTTCTCCCTCTGACCCTCCCCCCTCTCATGTGCTCTCTCTCTCTCTCATTCTCTCTGTCTCAAATAAATAAAATCTTTTTTTTTTTAAACAGGTTTCTTTTATTATTTTATTTATTTATTTATTTATTTATTTATTTATTTATTTATTTATTTATTTATTTAAAGATTTTATTTATTTATTTGACAGAGAGAGACACAGCGAGAGAGGGAACACAAGTAGGGGGAGTGGGAGAGGGAGAAGCAGGCTTCCCGCGGAGCAGAGAGCCCGATGCGGGGCTCGATCCCAGGACCCTGGGATCATGACCTGAGCCGAAGGCAGACGCTTAACCGACTGAGCCACCCAGGCGCCCCTCAAATAAATAAAATCTTAAAAAAAAAATGTTTTCGGGGCGCCTGGGTGGCTCAGTTGGTTAAGCGACTGCCTTCGGCTCAGGTCATGATCCTGGAGTCCCGGGATCGAGTCCCGCGTCGGGCTCCCTGCTCTGCAGGGGGTCTGCTTCTCCCTCTGACCCTCCCCCCTCTCATGTGCTCTCTGTCTTTCTCATTCTCTCTGTCTCAAATAAATAAAATCTTAAAAAAAAAAAATGTTTTCAGGGCGCCTGGGTGGCTCAGTTGGTTAAGCGACTGCCTTCGGCTCAGGTCATGATCCTGGAGTCCCAGGATCGAGTCCCGCATCGGGCTCCCTGCTCAGCGGGGGGGGTCTGCTTCTCCCTCTGACCCTCCTCCCTCTCATGCTCTCTGTCTCTCATTCTCTCTCTCTCAAATAAATAAATAAAATCTTTAAAAAAAAAAAAAAATTGGGTTTCTTGTGTAAACTCCCTGAACAGCATGATGATGTCACCATACAGCTTTTAATATGTATCCTTTCATTCCGAAATTCCCCTAAAAACAACGGAGTCTACCTCATAGCCATTAAGGGCTATTAAGGATGGAACCACAGCATTTAGCCTAAAGAACACTTTTTCAAAAGAAGAGGCATTTGACCTGAATATGCAGGAATCCTCACGTGTTTCCTCAGAGGCACAGAAAATCCCCGGCTCTCTGAGGGCATCCTGGAAAGCTGAGCGGGCTTGCTGCCCAGCTACAAAGCAGATGCGCACCGGTCCAGATTGGACTGTGATGGGGCGCCTGGCTGACCCAGGTAGACGAGCATGTGACTCTTAATCTCGGGGTCATGAGTTCGAGCCCCACGTTGGGTGTAGAGATGACTTGAATGAATAGAACTTCAAAAAAGTAAAAATTTAAAAAAATAAATTTGACCATGAAATCGCGAGTCCACGTAGCTCCTCCCCTACCCTGATGTGGGGGCAGGGCTACTCCGGCTGCCCTCAGTTACCGTGCAGACGTCGACGTGGACGTGTGCATTTGCACTCACGTGTGTTTCTCTCTTGTTCCCTGCACCCAGAACTCGGGAGAGAAGGTCAGTAAGGTCAGCCTGGTGGACCTGGCGGGTAGTGAAAGAGTGTCCAAAACAGGAGCTGCAGGAGAGCGACTCAAAGAAGGCAGCAACATTAACAAGTAAGGTGGTGGGTGGGATTCGGGTGCCGCACTGCAGCCTCACACCCAGCTTCCCCTGTGTCCGGGGGTGGGGAGCGGGGCTTGTGGCACTGGAAGGGAGCGGATGGTTCTGGTGGCAGGTGCTTCTGAGTCTGTGTAGCTTTAGTAAATGGAGTCGAAGAAAACCAACAGCCCTACCTCTCCTGAAATGCATGAGGTTTGTGTGAAGCTACGCGTTGCAGCCCTGTGCGTGTCATCATCATGTCTAATGTAATCTCAGGTAAATGCCAGTCACAGTCCTTGTCACTCAAATCATATCTTAAATTCACCTGAGAAGCTTGCTCTGAAAAGAAAACCTGCTTTGAATCCCTTTGTACAGCTGAAACTGTTTAAACATCAGTGCCTAACAGAATTTAACAGTTGCTGGATAGCGGCCACACTGAAATCTCACTTTTTGCCTTGGGAGCCTGTGGTGCGCCCAGTGCTGTCCTGGGGGCTGGAAGAGAGCAGGGTGGTACGGGATGTGTAGGAGTTTGCCAGGCAGACAAAGGAGATGCCGGCAATGGGCACAGAGGGCACAGCAAACGCACAGACAAGTGGAGGACTTGTTCTTTTCAGTAATGCAGTATCCCAGGACGGCTCCTGCCGTGCAAGAGGGGTGTTTGCTTTCCTGCTCAAGAGGGAGCAGAGTTTGTGTTTAAGAGTGTGAAGTGTCAAGTCAGACTGCCAGAGTTTTGTCCTTCCCTTCACCTCTCTGTGCTTTCTTTTTCTCATCTGTAAATGGGGATCGTAACAGTCCCTACTTCATAGACTTGTTGGAGCTTACATGCCCAGGATGCGCTTCGAACAATGCCTGGCTCATACTGTGCACTGAATCAATATTAATTGCTGTAGCTAATATTTTTATAATCTGTACAGATAGCATAATCATTATCATTATTCCAAGCTCAGCAGAAAGCAGTTGAGTTTGTACTTGTAACATCTCTCTGTTGAGACATAATAACTTGGGTTTCGTTTAGGACAGAAGGTGACAAGAGGCAATCTATGCAGGAACATGTTTGTGCAGCTTGCATTTTAAACGCGAGCACATTATAATTTTAGTGTGCTGAAGTTTAAAATTAGAAGGGAAATATCACCCCCTCTATCAGCGGGACACAACAGCACTCACTGCAGAGACTGCTGCTTTAGGGAGTTAATCTTCCAGTCATCCTGTCTCCTGCTCTAATAACAAAGGGCTTGGCTGTATTTCATGACCAAGCACTGTAGGAGTGCAGGCCGGCACCGCAGCTCGGCCTTCCACAGTGAGCTCAAGGGCGGGAATGGGAAAGCAGAAATGGGGGTATGAGAGAGCAGGTATCAACGAAAAGATTGTCACCTGTCCGGGAGATGTGTTTACTGGTGCTAAGCCATGCCAGCCCTTTGCCTTCTGGCTGGGCTTGTGGGAAAACACTAGGAGTTCTGTGCCGAGAATTTGTGAGAATGTAGAGTATGGCTGGCTTTGCTGTATAATGATCGCTAACTTCTGCTGACCTCTAATAAGGTCAGTGTTCTGGGTGCTGTTCTGAATGCTCCATATGGAATCACTCATCTGATCCTCACACCAGCATTGGGGGGCGGGGGTGTCTGTTATCCCTATTTTACAGAAGAGGAAACCAAGACAGAGAGGGGGTTAAATAATGTGCCCCAAGTCTCAAAGCTCTAAGCGTGGATCTGGATTTGGCTGCAAGCAGTCTGGCCCCAGAGCCCCGTGTAGTATGTGGGGTGGCAATGTGTTCTGTTTGCCTGCAAGAGTCCTAGCTGATACTTTCGTCCCAGAGTAAATGTTAATAGTGCCCTCTTAAATTTGGGCACTGAATTATGTACTGTCCCAAACCGGACTACCTCGAAGCCACATAATAACATGATTTAGATCCCCCGGCGACTGACTGTCTTCCATAATGCCTTACTGAATTGCATCAAATGCTCTCAGCATCCTGCTGTCTTTCCTTATTTACATACTAGCTCTTTCACAAATGAATATGTGGATTTCCTACTACTAGTCAGTGAGATCTGATCTTCATTTTGGGGGTTCTTTACAGTTATCAGAGCACTTTCATATGCATTATTTCATGTGAGGCTCCTAATAGGTATTTTTATCTCTGTTTATAGATGAGGGAACTAATGCTTGGAGACATTTAAGTAATATGAATAAAAGCTGAGCGGACATTTATTAAGTCTCTGCTATGTGCCTGGCGCTGCATTAGATGCTGGCGATGCAAAAGAAATTTAGATATTCTTGTAGACACTACTGCCTCCCCACCCACCCCCCAAATATGCCCTAATCCTGATCCTAATTCCCAAAACTTGTGCATATGTGACAGTGCAAGGCAGAGAACTTGGCAGATGTGATTAATTTAAGATTTTGAGATGAGGAGATTATCCAGGTGAGCCTGCTCTAAGAGCAAAGCTCCTGAAAAGTGAAAGAGGGAGGTAGGAGGGCCAGAGCTGGTCAGAGTGATGTGGGGTGAGAAAGCCTTCACCTTCCATTTCCCGTTTGATGGTGAAGGAAGGGACCGTGAGCCAAGGAACGCAGGTGGCTTGAGGGAGATGGAGCAGGCAGGGCGACAGTCTGTCCTGATGGCCTCCAGAAGGAGCGCAGCCCTGCTGACACTTCTTAGCGCAGTGAGACATGCTCTGGACTTCTGGCCTTCCAGAACTATAAGATAATAGTTGTAATAGCTTCATGTTCTGTTAAGCCACCAAGTTTATGGTTATTTGTCACAGCATGATGGCTGCCCTTGAGGAGCACACAGTTGAGGACAACAGGAGGTCACTCATTTGAAAAAATGAAAGGAAGGAGGATTTTTTTGGGGGGGGGCCAGACAACGCTGTGAAATTCTACAGAAGCCAACACTGAGGCATGGAACTATTTTTTTTTTTATGACACCTTTTACCAGTCTGTGGATGTTTGCCGAGTTGGTCTTGTGCTTTTCCCAAAATAACTGGCTCAGAGGGACTAGAGTTGCCTCTGAATCTTTTCCACTATGCCTTAGTCCAGGGCTGTTTTCTTTACCCCACACACCTCTCTGGTCTCCCCGAGTAGGTGCACATGCCCCAAGAGCCCACTCCGGACCCAGGTCTCCAGTAGGCGTCCTCCAGGTTCTCATTGTGGTCATGGGGACGTAGCATGCACGGGACATCTTGCCATTACACGGTGCCCTGATGTCTGCAGAGCTGTGTGGGAGACCTTCATGGAAATGGGCCCTCCATCCCTTGCCTGCCATTCCAAAATCCGGAATGCCCTGAACAAGCCCTTTTCTTTTCTTTTTTTTTTTTTTTTTAATGTTTTATTTATTTATTCATGAGAGTCAGAGAGAGAGACGCAGAGGCAGAGGGAGAAGCAGGCTCCCCGCCTAGCAGGGAGCCCAATGCGGGACTTGATCCCAGGACCCTGGGATCATGACCTGAGCCGAAGGCAGACGCTTAACCATCTGAGCCACCCAGGCACCCAAGCCCTTTTCTTTTTTTCTTCACAGCTTACCTGTTGGTAGAGCCTCACCGGAACTCTCGTGAGGCTGTCTCTAGTCGTTACCTGCGTTCAGAGTGTTTGTTTACTCATTTAGCGTGGCCGTTTGTAAGTTTAGCCACAGAAATGCCGGTGGGTTTTATTACGGCCTGCTGTCCCAGATCTGTCCGTGGTGGTCATGTACAATGCAGGCAGTGCACTTCCTAAAATTCAAAGTATTCTGCATTTCCATACCCACGTGGCCCCAAGGGTTTCAGACGAGGGGCGCTCACCTGTCCCTTTTTGATCCATGAAGCCAGTATGTGTTGGGCACTGGCAGTGTGAGAGCACGGGGAGGAGTAGCCGGGGCTCTGGCCTTGGGAAGGTCAGGATCCGATGGGGAAGGACTGAGGGCTGGCATGACCACATTCAGTGCCATGGGTGCAGTGGGAGCCCAGGGACAACGGCCGGAAGGTTCAGGGAGGGCGGAATTTCTAGCCGAGTGACCTCTGTGTGCCTCAGTTTTGTCAGCTGTAAAACATGGCTGAGGAAACAGCCCTGTGAGCAGGGCTATTACGGGGATTAAATTAGTTACTATTGTAAGTGCTTCTTAGAACAGGGCCCAGCATGTAGTAAGCTCTGTAGTAGAGACACAGGTAAAATAAATAATAAATTGAAAGGGCTGCCTGATAGCTCCCAGATGGCTTTTTAAGCCTTAAAACCAGTGCCCCGTTGAGTGCTAAAATTAAAGAAATCTCTGACATGTTTCCTAAGCTTTCTCTCGGCCTCCTATTTGGGCTTCTTTTGATGGAACATTAGTAATCCTCTTAAGCAGACCTGTCAGGGACTTCACAGAGACATTAGTGTCTGCTTAATGGGCTATGGATTTAGGAGCTTCATTTCTCCTTAAGCCCTTAAGAGCTTTAAAGCACACATTATTCCTTCATTTGCAGAGCTAAGGCACGGCATGGCTGCACCACCATGGCCTGTGCAGGGTGTGGGACGAATAGGTCTGTAGACCATCCTCACAGGGAAATACATCTGAAAACTCAAGGCTGTTGCTCCACCTGTCTGTTGAGGGTGGAGTGAGGAAGTCTGTCCCTGCCACCAGAGTCCGGCGGGCCAGCTTCTCGGAGTGCTCATTCAGATCATGGGGCGCTCGCTAAAGCCCCTGGGAATGTCATTGAAAATGGTTCCATCTTAATCTCACCAATGGCCAGTTATTAAGTGCAAGCAATGTCCATCTAATGAGTATCACTCCTGGTCTCAGTTCGTTTCAGTCACTGTGGTTGATAATAAAGTATATATGAAACATTTCCCCAAATGGGTTCTACTCAACATTTGTTCTAGGGATACAAATATATGTTATTCTTAAGATTCTGTCAAATAATTTATGTTACAATGTAATAAATTATAAGCACAGTATTTCTAATGTGTCATGTGACTCAATCCTCTTTTTTTTTTTCTTCTTGAGAACTTCCCATGACTCTTAATCATTTCTTCTCGGAAGTCTCGCTTAAGTGGGTATTGCCTGCAT